ATTGGTCAGCCGCTTGGTGATGAAGACTTCACCACCCATGTACTCAACGGCCTGGATGATGACTATGATAACCTCATTGAGAATGTGCATGGTCGCGAGGCCCCAGTACCACCCCGCGAGCTCTACACGAGCCTCCTTGGCCGCGAACAGCGCATCAAGGCGCGCCGAGCCTCTCCAGGGTTTGTCTCCGCCAACGCCGCGACTCGCGGCAAGTCGCAGAAGCCGGCGCCGCTTGGTGGGAAAGCGGCGACCTCGCCTCAGTCCGCTCCACGGGGTTTGGCGCCCTCCATCACTGGTGGCAGCCGGCCCATTGCTTGTTGTCCCTGCTGTGGCGCTCAGCAGGCCTGCCAGCTGTGTGGCATTGAGCGTCACATTGCGTCTTGCTGTCATCGTCGCTTCAAGCAAGATTTTCTGGGCCTAGGCAACAATGGCAAAGGGAATGATAAGCAAGCTGCCGCCGCGGTGACGAGCCATGAGCATGGTCGCACTCCATCCTACTCCATTGATCCTACGTGGTATATGGACACCGAAGCTACCAATCACCTCACCGGAGATATGGGCAAGCTCTCTACTCAGGAGCCATACCGTGGTCATGATCAGGTGCACACCACCAGTGGAGCAGGTATGCGCATCTCATATGTTGGTCAGGCTTCTCTTCTTGCACACAATTTTCGCAAACTGCATCTTTCCAATGTCCTTCGAGTTCCCTCTGCTACGCGTAGTTTGTTGTCTATTCCTCAACTTACTCGTGATAATAATGTCCTTGCTGAATTTCACCCTTTTCGTTTCTTTATCAAGGATCGGGACACGAGGGCCGTTCTGCTTAGTGGTCGTCTACGCCATGGCCTGTATGCACTTGACGCGCCGCGCACACCTCCCATGAAGTTTTCTCCTCAGGCGTTCAGTGGTGTTCATGTGTCACCTACGCACTGGCATGCATGCCTTGGTCACCCTGCAGCTCCTATAGTTCGTCATGTGTTGCATCGTCATGAACTACCAGTTGTGTCCAATAAAACTGCTGAAACCATTTGTGATGCCTGTCAGCAGGGCAAGAGTCATCAACTTCCGTTTTTAGAGTCTAGTCGTGTTGTGAAACATCCTCTTAAGCTTGTATTTTCTGATGTGTGGGGTCATGCCCAAACATCTGTTAGTGGTCACAATTATTATGTCAATTTTATTGATGCTTATAGTCGGTTTACTTGGCTATATCTTATTAAGCGCAAGTCTGATGTGTTTGATGTTTTCATTCAGTTCCAAGCACATGTTGAGCGTCTCCTTAAGCATAAAATTATCCATGTTCAATCCGACTGGGGGTGAATATCACAACCTCAACTCGTTTTTTAACAAACTTGGGATTTCGCATCGTGTGTCTTGCCCTCATACACATCAGCAGAATGGAACTGCCGAACGTAAGCATCGTCATCTTGTAGAAACTGGCCTAACCTTGCTAGCTCATGCATCCGTTCCGTTTCGGTTCTGGAGTGATGCTTTCTCCATAGCCTGTTTTTTGATAAATAGGCTCCCCTCACGACTTCTGAAGATGCAGACTCCGCTTGAACTCTTGCTCAATGAAATTCCAGACTACACATTCTTCAAGGTGTTTGGGTGTGCGTGTTGGCCTCACCTACGTCCTTACAACAAGCGTAAGCTAGAGTTTCGATCTAAGAAGTGTGTTTTTCTCGGGTATAGTTCCCTTCATAAAGGGTACAAGTGCCTTCATGTTCCTACAGATCGCGTCTACATATCTCGTGACATTGTGTTTGATGAGAATGTGTTTCCCTTTCGTGCACTTCCGACAAACTCTACCACTCTCATGCCACCAGTGCACATGTCTGTACCTTTGCCTGATCAATTTGTGGATGTTGCATATGCCCCTGCGCTGCTCCCTAATCATGCTGCAGGTATTGGACACGGTGCACGCCTTGAGCTCCTTGAGGAACAAGCGCCGGATGACGCTCGCGATCGGGACGCCTCCCATGTGCATGGGCCATGCATACCGGGTGGCACCCGCCAACCCGCCGCTGCTTCGCTCGGGGAGCGGGCGCCGGCCTCACCCGCCCCGACGCTGGCTTCGCCCGGCTCGCTAGTGGCGACCTCGCTCGCCCCGACGCTGGCCTCGCCTGGCCCGCAGACTCCGGCATCGCCCAGCCTGGAGGTCACTTCGCCTGGGCCAGCTGCCGCCTCATTCGGCCCGGTGGTGGTCTCGCCCGACCTGGCGGCTACTCCGACTGGGCCGGCTGCAGTTTCGCCCGGCCCAGCAACCCCGACAGACCTGACGCGTCGTCGCCCGCTTCCCTGATGCCAGGGAGCCCTGGTGAGAGCTCGTCGGGTGTCTCAGCCTCATCATCATCACCCGTCGTTGTGGTGTTACCAGTACAGCCTGCTGTCCCCGTGCATCCTCGCACACGAAGTCAATCTGGAATTTTTCGTCCGAAGGAACGCAAAGATGGGACTGTCGCATGGCTTGCTGCTTGCATGGCTCATACTGTTGCTGATCCCACTGCAGAACCTCGCCATTTTTAGGCTGCGCTCAGTATTCCTCATTGGCGTGCGGCAATGGAACAGGAGTTTGATGCTCTACAAAAAAATGATACTTGGCAACTTGTTCCTCCAGTGTCTGGCGTCAACGTCATTGATTCCAAGTGGGTTTTTAAAGTCAAGAGACATGCTGATGGTTCTACAGAACGCTACAAGGCATGACTAGTCGCCAAGGGTTTCAAACAGAGGTATGGTCTTGATTATGAAGACACGTTCAGTCCCGTTATCAAGCCTACTACTATACGTTTGCTGCTGTCTCTTGCTGTCACTCGAGGATGGTTTCTTCGTCAGCTCGATGTGCAGAACGCTTTCCTACATGGAATTCTGGAGGAGGAGGTTTATATGCGTCAGCCGCCTGGTTTTGTTGATCCGGCACGTCCTCATCATCTCTGTCGTCTGGTTAAGGCACTGTATGGACTCAAACAGGCTCCTCGTGCTTGGCATGCCCGCCTCGGCTCTGTTCTTCGTTGCTCTTGGGTTTACTCCCTCCACTGCGGACACGTCACTGTTTCTCCTTCAGCGCCCTGAGGTTACGATGTATCTCCTGGTTTATGTTGATGATATCATTCTCATCAGTTCCTCTGATGCTGCTACTGGTCGTCTTATGACTGCGTTGAGTGGTGATTTTGCTGTCAAGGACCTAGGTGCTCTGCATTTTTTCCTCAGTCTGGAGGTCTCACGGTCTTCTACTGGGTTAACTCTCACTCAGAAGAAGTACTCCATGGATTTGCTACGTCAGGCTGGCATGCTGAAGTGCAAACATGCTATCACTCCGATGTCTGCCACTGATCGGTTGTCTGCTCTTGATGGAGAACCTCTTTCACCTGATGATGCTACTGAGTATCGCAGTCTCGTTGGTGGTCTGCAGTATCTGACTATTACCAGGCCTGATATCTCCTATGCAGTTAACCGTGTGTGTCAGTACCTTCATGCACCCAGGACATTTCATTGGTCAGCTGTGAAGCGTATTTTGTGGTACATATGTCTTACTGCCTCCTATGGTTTGCTCATTCAGCCTGCTCCGTCTGGTGAGCTCTTCGCTTTTTCATATGCAGATTGGGCTGGTAATCCTGATGACAGGCGATCCACGGGGGGTTATGCGGTATTTCTGGGTTCTAACTTGATCGCCTGGAATGCTCGCAAGCAAGCAACGGTGTCTCGCAGTAGTACTGAGGCTGAGTACAAAGTGGTTGCTGATGCGACTGCTGAGATCATATGGGTACAGTCTCTCTTGAGGGAACTGAGAGTCTCTCCAGCCCGTCCTCCAGTTATGTGGTGTGATAACATCGGTGCTACATATCTCTCGTCTAATCCGGTGTTCCATGCTCGGACGAAGCATATTGAGGTTGACTATCATTTTGTTCGCGAACGTGTTGCACAGAAACTACTCTGTATCAAGTTCATCTCGTCAAAGGATCAACTTGCTGACATCTTCACGAAGCCTCTTCCACAACCGCAGTTTGTAGGTTGTAGGCGCAATCTTAACTTACTTTGTACTTTAGGCCATAGTTAAGATTGAGGGAGGATGTTAGACTGTATATATACGTAGCCTCTGTATATCTGTTGTAACATTGTATTATACCTCTTGATACTTCTATATAATGAGATAGCCACACCCCGTTTAGGGTGTCGAGCAGTTCCCCCAAACATATGTTTTACAGGGATACCCGAGCTTTGAGAGAGGACGACTCAATGCGGTTTATGGGATTTCATCCAATGACCATGGGCGCTTTAATCCGATGGTGACAAGGATGACCGTTTGAGAGCTGGTGGCGGTGGGCCGGCGCCACCGCCACCTAGCACCCCAAACAAAAATGCTATTTCTTACGTAATAAAGCTTGTATAGTAAAGCACGTACTAGTGTGTTCCGATCTGTAATTGCTTCCTTAATTTTAGCTAACTTTTTTGTAGAATCCGTAGGTATGAATAGCATTGCTCGGGCTGGCCCTGCCGGCCCCCCTGGTTCTGCCACTGCATGGCGTCGAGGAAGGAGAAGGTGGGCGTTGAGACTTGAGAAGCTCGCGGTGTCCACGGAGACGGAGATGAGAGTGCTGTCCTTGTTAGACCAATTCTAGTACACACAATTAATGCTTTATTTTCTTTTGCGGTATATAACATAATTATTGATGTTGTGAGAACGCCCCTTTGGCGGCATGCCGTCGTGTTACACGCGAGTAGCCACGGGCACTTCCATATATAGGCGAAGGAAAGGAGCTGGAAAATGCAAGCTGTATGCATGGCCACCAGTGTGTGTGGACCCCTTATCTCTATCGTGCATGTGTACGTACATGACCTCGTGTTTCTCGTTGCATCGTCGTTTCATACGATTGGCGCAGACTGATGAGTTATAAGTTGAGCAGAACCCTGCAGAAGAAAGAGAAGCGCGAAGATTGCCACAAAGCAACGTCCAAGATATAGCTTCAACGTTGAAGAAGTTGGCTGGCTGACTCCTTTTAAATCTCATGGCGATCCTCATGTCATGCGTTACTCCCAAAACGTTGGCGACATGCACTCCGGAGGTTTCTCGGCAACAACGGGACACATGTATTTCTGTCTCAGCTCATCGCCGGCAAATCCGAATCGGCTTAACCATGAAGTCTTGGGGCACCAGCTGTACCGTTCCGCCGATGCGGATAAGAGGAGCAACACGGTATGTTCGTATGTTTTCTCCCTCTAAGCTTCTTTTTCATGATGCATCAGCTAGCATTTGTCATTCACACACACTCTCTTTTCTAAACATGTTGTTCTTAGGAACCCATGCAAATTATGTTAACTTTTGCCGGTATGATTATGATATATTGTTCTCCTTCCATATTCATCTAAATTAATAACTTTTTATGGGAAATTTACAACTTCTTTTGGCCATGCATCACATCTAACCTATAGCAGGTAAGCATGTATCTACATCAGACTATGTGACAATAGGAGAAAATGTTGCTCGCCCTATTTGAATGAAACCAAAGCAGAGCGATGATACAATAAATAAATAGAACATGTTTTTAGATGAAAAGAGTAAGTAATATATGTATGAGTTTCTAGTAAGATGGGCATTACACATATTTTATTTTTTGAACATCAGTACAGATGCAAGCGCTCATACATACGCGCATACACTCACCCCTATGAACGCACACACGCACACACTACCCCTATGAGCACCTCCGAGAGACTGAGCCGACATGTCATCTTGAAATTTATGAAGTCACCGTAGGCGCCTCGTCATTGACAGGAACGTCTCCTCCCACTGAAAGCGCATCGCCGGAAATTCTGAAATATATCCAGGAATAATGCGAGCACCAGGACTTGAACTCTGATGGGCTGGGGATATCACTGTCCCTCTAACCATCTAACCATAGATTGGTTCGCAACATTACACATATTTTAGTTACTGTGAAAGATGCATGTGACTAGAGGCTAAAATCTGCTTCACCACGAGATTTAATTATTTTTATGTAGCAGGTTATTGTTGTCGATTGTTTCCTTTTAGTTTTATCTATGTTGGTTTAGTTTCTAATTATGTTCTGGTGGTATTTTTTATTTGTATATCGTGTTGGGTTGTTCTTTGAGATGATATTTATTCTGAGAAGAGGAGAGTGGAGTTGTTAGGTATGTTTTTTTTAGGCTAGTTGTTAGGTATGTGATTGTCATGTCCATACACATTTTGGTATCGGTGTCAACTGGTAGTTGTGTGAGCCCACTGGGAGACGTTGGAACAGTGAAATTACTGCTATAACGCTCACATGGCAGCCATGAAGTTCTCGCTTGTTCACCTCAGCTCCCCACTCCACTCGCCCACTTAGTTTTTTTTTCTCGCTCTACTGCTAGCTTATAAAAGGTGGGCTATCCTATTTCTAATTTGAAGAAGTTCATTAAATCAAAAGAAGTTTACGTGCTTTAAAAAATAGATTTTAAGAATGTTGCGAATTAAAAAGACACATTTAAAAAAACATCACCATTTTTTAAAATATTCATGGACTTCAAATAATGTTTGCAATATTGAATAAGGTTAGCAAATTTAAAAATGTTTGTGCACTTTAAAAATATTCACGAACTTTAAATAATTTAACGAATCCAAAAAATATTTGTGAATTTTAAAAGAATGTTCATATTTTTTTCTAAATGTTCACTACTCTTAATAAATATTCATGAATTAAATGTTTAAAAAATAAATAGATAACTAAAAAGATAGATAAATAAATAAAGTTTTTGTCTACATAGATAGAACAAGCATCTTAGCTTGTATGTATAGTTATCTAAAAACAAAACTTTTGCGTACACTAGCACGTATGAAAAATATAAACAAACTTTCCACCCTACTGTAGAAGGTCATTCCATAAACTTTCACCTGTTTTATTCAGAATTACTGCAGCTGGTTCCGGTCCTGGAGAATTGCCAGAAGAAAAATCACCAATACCCAACAAAGAGGCTGCAATTAGTTCGGACCCTGGGGAATTACCAGGAAAATCCCCACCGCCCAACAAATCTTCATTGTGAGTACAAAAAAGTAACGAGCATTTCTTGTCCCCATATGATGGAATTTGCTTGATCAAATTCCTTCTCACATTCACAAGCTATATGAGCTTCTCAGGGTCACGGTGGTCGTTGGTGGCGTCTTTGGAGCAGTATCTTTTTACGGACAGATGAGAGCAATGGAAGGTAAAAATCAAAATCAATATATATAATAATATATACACTTGACACTTGTATTATTTGGATCTTAGTGTGCACTCTTACTTTGACTTCTCTTTGCTGTAAATAACATACAATAGAGAATGTGGAAAAGACGGCAGAGGTAGCAATCGAGACTATCGAGAAAGCGGCGGATGTGGTTGACAAACTCGCAGACGAAGTCATAGCATTTCCCGGTAATGAAAACCTTAAGAAGGCAGCCTTCAGGATCAAAGTCATCGCAGAAGAGATAGAGAAGGATGCAGAAGAAGCCGAGGCCCTAATCCACAAGGTTAGGTTAACTGCCTATGAATGTATTAGTTCCCTACTTCCTCTGGTCCTTTTTACTCCCCATATTAGATTTGTGTCAAGTCAAACTTTGCAAAGTTTGACCAAACTTATATTAGAAAATATCAACATCTACAATACCAAATGTATATACTATGAAACTTCGTTGCATAGTGAATCTAACAATATTGATTTGGCATTGTGAATGTTCATACTGTTTTTCTATATGTTTGGTCAAAGTAGAGGTACTTTGAATTTAGATAAAACCTATATGCAGACTAAAAAAGACCGGATGGAGTATTTGTCTTTCCATTAAGTGCATCTTTGATTTGTAGGAAAAGAGAGAAAAAAACAAAGGTATAGGAAAATTTGCTTTGATGTGGCACTACTTAATTGTTGGGTTCAAGGAATGGGCCGAATGATAAAGATATATATTTTTCCTCTGGTCATTGTTTCGGGGTTTCTTTGGTTTGTGGCTTTCTAAAAATGTAGGAATAGAAAATATAAGGAAATATGATGACAATGTATGTGCAAATCATAGGATTGAAAAATACAAGAATTTTTATAAACATGCATTTTTGGGTCACACGAATTGGAGAATCCTAATAAACACATTCAAATCAAAGTTGAACCACTTGAAAATGTGTAATTAGAAGGGTATTATGTTGCAAAAAACCTTGGGCTTGTACTTCGCTTATAGGAATTCCAAAAGGTGGTCCAAGTGCATTGTAAAATTTCCTTTGTTTTCTATTAAAGTTGAGATCAAAGGAAATTTCCATTTGTTTTTCCTTTGCTTAATTTGTTTGAACATAATGTGCACCATCGAATGAAATTTTCCTGTTACTATGATTTTCCTCCATTTTTCGTATGAACCAAAAGATCCTCAAGGCAGGACTTTACCATTCATTTGGACCTCTTTTTGAATCCCACACACAAAGTATGAGGATGATTGGCTCTGTGCATCCTATGATGCAGAGGCCGGTGTTATCCCTTTTTCAAAAATATATGAGGATGGGTCTATTGTGCCACGAGAAAATTTTAATTATATATTTTCACGTGGATTGGTTTTTATTTGACTGTATTTTTTAGGATTTCTATTTCATTCTGTCTTCATGTAATTCTTTGTGTCTTCAAATATTCTGTTTTGCATATATTTCTATCTTAGTATTGTGTTTTTCTCTTCTCTTCTTACCTTTTCTGAATCGTATGAACTAAATATACTTAATCCAGTGACCGAAATATTCTAGGGAAAGTTCTGGTTGTACCCACATACCAGTACACCCTCTATCCTCACCATCCATTCTTGCATCAAAGTTCATGCAAGAAAACTTCTATTTTTTGTTTCTCCCAAATAAAAGAACATTTAAACTCGAAACTTTGCAGATCAACATCACGCAAGTGCTACCATGTGCAAAAAATATTTTCGGTTTTTGGCGCAACATGATTTTTTTTAGAAATAATACAATTCATTCGAATGTTCCATGATCTGCAAAGTTGTACAGTGAGCGACACTTGTGTAGTTTATCTGCAAAGTTTCATGATCAAATGTTCTCTTGTTTGGAAGAAACAAAAAGAGAAATTTCTATATAAGAATACTACGAATCTTGACGCAAACTGAATGGTACACTGGTATGAGGTACACAAAATTCACTCAATCCTCTCACTTATGGCACATTGCCGTTGGGTGGCTGACATATGCACATGTATGTCAGCCACCCAATGGTTGGGTGCACTAAGTTGGGGAAGTTGTATCCTTGCATCTTAATCCAAGGAGTACCTAGCTCATGGTGTGGTGGTAGGGGTGCAACCATGTGCAAGTTACGTCTTTGCTGTTGTTGTTGTGTTCGCTCACAAAATTACGGCAACTGTTGATTGCACTGTATTAATTATTGCTTAACTAACTCATGGTACGGCGGTGCAAATCACCACCTAGTGTAGTTCCTTACTAAATTTGGTAGTTCGTGACACGTGTTGATTTCTGGAAATGTAGTAAATATCAAAATGAATAAACCTATCTAATAAAAGTAGAACAATAACTTTTCAACAAAAATGGTAAGCAAATATTTGCTTAATCTCAATGGCATTAGATGACAACTAATTAGTAGCACTAAGAATGTACATTGAGCAAAATGTGGAGTGAACTCCAGTTTTATCCACCAGTTAAACATTTTTTTACATTAGTTACCCTATTTAGCAATTTTCACCTAGATTACCCCACTTAGCGAAAGTTTGCCCATTTTTACTCCCATTAAATTTTGAGAGTGATCTAACAGGTGTTTCCTCTAACCTTTTCTTCCATGCGCATGAACCGGTAGAGGGGCTTATAGACCGGTTTTTATTTTCACAGTAATCAGGTCTACATACTCATTGCATTGTGCAATTGGTCAGCTAAATAGTTGCACATGGTTCATGAGGCGGGTCCAGCTCAGGGACGAGAACTAACTCAGGCGCAAAAAAATGAAAACCCAGCACACCTTGTGTACCTGATGGTCGAGACCCACCTAGCCGATCACTTTAAAAAATCAATGGAGTAAAAAATGGTAAAACTTTTGCTAATTGGGGTAAAGATTGGCAAACCACTTGTTAAATAGGACAATCCAAATGAAAAATTGTTACATGAGGTAATTATCATAAAAATGTCAATGTAATAGGTAAAAATTGAAATTCACTCTAAAGCGTGAGGTGCTTGCTGTGCAAAGATGTTAGCTGACATATGTAACTGAATCTATTCTAACTTTTTGCTTGGTTAAAACCAGGTTGAAGAGATAGAAAAAGAGGTGGATGCTGCAGTGGATACTTTCATGGGGAAGGGCATGAAGAAGGGATCGCAGAGACGAATGGGGTAGCAAATAAAAGTAACAGTTACTGATAGTAGAAGTGAACAAATAAATATAGGATCATCTTCTCATTGGATGGTAAGCCAGATCGCTGCATGCAGGCTTGTGTGCCCGATTTGGAGTCCATCTTTACTTGTGTCACCTTTTTATGTTAGAAAATACGTGAGACACAAGCATAGTTTCTACCGTGGCTATAATGAAACATACATGAAAAGTAGTCATATATGTACTGATAGAGCTTTCTTCTTTGTTGTTCAAATCTCACAATGAGACTGGGTGTGTACAATCTACCACGCGTATAAAAGTAGAAGTCCACAAGCCCCTCTTTCAGAGTGGGAAGCCTTTTAGGCGGAGATCTGAATCCTAGCACTCTTTTTTGGTCTAAATCCCAACACTTTTTTTCGTCCCCTGAATTATGCACTTCTCTAAGCCTTGTTGTTACAATTCTTTCAACAAGTTTTTCGGGTGTGGATGCTTGCAACAGCGAGTGGCTTAGTATGTTGTACCTTTACCTCATTCATCTATTGCAGTTCATGAGCAAAAGAACTTGTAGTTGACATGCCTCATGAGTATAGTACTCACATAGCCGGTTTGAAATTGTACAACACAAGTTGCATTATCTTCATAGATAGTGGCCACTGCTTTCAAAACAACAAGTCCATATGATGTCTCTATGAGGAGTGTTATTCTCCAAACCCATATACACTCTTGTGATGATTGATATAATGCAATTTGTTTTGAAGTACTTTTTATGTGGATGCAAGATTTTGTTTTGGTGAATTCGAGAAAATCATAGTTCCTCCTAATAAAAGTGCAGTACTCCAGAAAAAATTCATTGACTTGCCCTTAAACCCCTCCAATAATAGGTATCATGCCTTGTTAGTAACTTACCGTCAAAAGTGACTTACCCACCACTGATGAGTGAGTGACATGTTCAGTGTAGGGAGTGCTCAACTTTGATTGGCAAGAAGACCCTTTAGTGGAAATAATTTTGAGGCTAGCTAGAAATCAGCATTGAGGTTCACCATGGTTGGGCATGTGGTGAAATCATGTCAATTACTATAAACATGGGGATCCATGATGGAATCTCAATGAAACTTTGGGGAAATGTCATGGATATGGAACCATTTATGATGATCCATTTAGTGTGGTCCTTTCTCCAAGCGACGGGGTGCACCCCCCCATGCGATGGCGGCTGCACAAGTACTTCCCTCTCTGGTTCGGTTCCCGTATATCACTATAAGCTCCTCATCCTATGGTGTTGTACATGTGTGTAACTTTGTTCACAACTTCCACATCCTCTAATGTACAAATCTACAAACTGTCTATTTGACTTTGTGTGTGTGTGTGTGAATAGTTGTACAGTCCCTAAGCAACAATAGTCAAGTATCCAGCAAATGGTTAGCTAGTAGATTACATGATTACTAGGTAGTTAATATACCAAATTGTACATTTGTTATCTATAGCCATACGATAAAACAATGATGACAACGATACAAAGATTTGAATTTCATGTTGAGTAAGTTGGAATTTAGACCGTCCATTTTGTTTTGCATGTTTGTGTGTCAATGAGATTGGTTATATTTTACTTATTGTTCTTCCGTAGTTGTATTATGAATCTTATACGTTGAAATGGCATGAAACAATGAATGTGTAATTCAAGTAGCTTAGCTCAAAATGCTAGAATTAGCAAACTTGAATTGCCATGTTTTTTTCTCATAGCTTGGCTCAAAATTAATCGTCTTGTTATGGCAACTTAGTATCTTTCTCCATTTTTGTGCCACGATTACATTGCTCCATCTTAACATAGTGCACATTCTGTGTACACTACACAACTTTCTTGTGCTATGAATTGCTTGATTGGATGCTTGTGAGGAAACTCTTTGTTTTTAGTTAATCCACTAATAAATTGATAAACTAAATGTTGTATCTTGTTACACTAAATCTTGCACATTTATATATGTGTGTAGTTTATGCACATTGAACCCCATTGACTTCTTTTGTTGTTGTTGACACATTTTCTAAGGAATACATGTCAGTAGATGTATTGTAGTGTGTATTACTTCAAAAACATTAACCTGTATGTTCAATTTATTATGCAATATTTTCACTTGGTCCAACCTTATTGTTATCATTTGATTAATTGTCGGATCTTTTCTTATACACACACTCCACGATCTCATATATAGTTGTGTTTTACTATGAAAATGATCACAAGGAACTTGTTCATATTTTAGTAAGTTGAAGAGAGAAGATTTGAGCTATAGATTCAAGATTGTGATGTTGACAAGGTGTCCAACAATCCAGAGGGTGTAAAAGTAGCTAAGGTGTTGGGACTTGTTGGGGAACGTAGTAATTTCAAAATTTTCCTACGCACATGCAAGATCATGGTGATGCATAGCAACGAGAGGGGAAGAGTGTTGTCCATGTACCCTCGTAGACCGTAAGCGGAAGCGTTATGACAACGCGGTTTATGTAGTCGTACATCTTCATGATCGACCGATCCTATTACCGAAAGTATGGCACCTCCGCGATCTGCACACGTTCGGCTTGGTGACGTACCACGAACTCTCGATCCAACTGAGTGTTGAGGGAGAGCTTCGTCAGCACGATGACGTGATGACGGTGATGACGATGATATCGTCGCAGGGCTTCACCTAAGCACTACGATGATATGACTGAGGTGGGTTATGGTGGAGGGAGGCACCGCACACGGCTAAGGGATCAATGATCAACTTGTGTGTCTATGGGGTGCCCCCTGGCCACGTATATAAAGGATGAAGAGAGGAGGAGGCCGGTCCTCATAGGGCGCACCCAAAGTGTGGAGTCCTACTAGGACTCCCTAGTCCTAGTAGGATTCCACCTCCCACATGGAATAGGAAAAAGGGAAGGGGGAAGGAGAAGGAAGGAAGGGGGCACCCCCTTTCCCAACTCCAATTTGGACCAGTCCATGGGGAAGGGGCGCGGCCACCCTTAAGGCCTTTCTCTCCTTTCCCGTATGGCCCATTAAGGCCCAATACAAATTCCCGTAACTCTCCGGTACTCCGAAAAAATACCCTAATCACTCGGAACCTTTTCGATGTCCGAATATAGCCTTCCAATATATCGATCTTTACGTCTTGACCATTTCGAGACTCCTCGTCATGTCCCCGATCTCATCCGGGACTCCGAACAAACTTCGGTCATCAAATCACATAACTCATAATACAAATCGTCACAGAACGTTAAGCATGCGGACCCTACGGGTTCGAGAACTATGTAGACATGATCGAGACTCATCTCCGGTCAATAACCAACAACGGAACCTGGATGCTCATATTGGTTCCTACATATTCTACTAAGATCTTTATCGGTCAAACCGCATAACAACATACGTTGTTCCCTTTGTCATCGGTATGTTACTTGCCCGAGATTCGATCGTTGGTATCTCAATACCTAGTTCAATCTCATTACCGACAAGTCTCTTTACTCGTTCCGTAATGCATCATCCCGCAACTAACTCATTAATCACATTGCTTGCAAGGCTTATAGTGATGTGCATTACCGAGAGGGCCCAGAGATACCTCTCCGATAGACGGAGTGACAAATCCTAATCTCGATCTATGCCAACTCAACAAACACCATTGGAGACACCTGTAGAGCATCTTTATAATCACCCAGTTACGTTGTGATATTTGATAGCACACAAGGTGTTCCTCCGGTATTTGGGAGTTGCATAATCTCATAGTCAGAGGAACATGTATAAGTCATGAAGAAAGCAGTAGCAATAAAACTGAACGATCATTATGCTAAGCTAGCAGATGGGTCTTGTCCATCACATCATTCTCTAATGATGTGATCCCGTTCATCAAATGACAACACATTGCCATGGCTAGGAAACTTAACCATCTTTGATTAATGAGCTAGTCAAGTAGAGGCATACTAGGGACACTCTGTTTGTCTATGTATTCACACATGTACTAAGTTTCCGATTAATACAATTCTAGCATGAATAATAAACATTTATCATGATATAAGGAAATATAAATAACAATTTTATTATTGCCTCTAGGGTATATTTCCTTCAGTCTCCCACTTGCACTAGAGTCAATAATCTAGTTCACATCGTCATGTTATTTAACACCAATAGTTCACATCTTTATGTGATTAGTTTACATCTCCATGTGACTAACACCCAAAGGGTTTACTAGAGTCAATAATCTAGTTCACATCGCTATGTGATTAACACCCAAAGAGTGATCATGTTTTGCTTGTGAGAGAAATTTAGTCAATGGATCTGCCACATTTAGAGCCGTAGGTATTCTGCAAATTTTCTATGTCTACAATGCTTTGCACGGAGCTACTCTAGCTAATTGCTTCCACTTTCAATATGTATCTAGATCGAGACTTAGAGTCATTCAGATCGGTGTCAAAGCTTGCATCGACGTAACTCTTTATGACGAACTCTTTGTCACCTCCATAACCGAGAAACATTTCCTTATTCCACTATGGATATTTTGACCGTTGTCCAGTGATCCACTCCTGGATCACTATTGTACCCTCTTGCCAAAGTTTTGGTGAGGTACACAACAGGTCTGGTACACATCATAGCATACTTTGTAGAACCTATGACTAAGGCATAGGGAATGACTTTTCATTCTCTTTCTATTTTTTGCCGTGGTTGGGTTTTGAGTCTTTACTCAACTCCACACCTTGCAACACAGGCAAGAACTCCTTCTTTGACTGTTCCATTTTGAACTACTTCAAAATTGTCAAGGTATGTACTCATTGAAAATATATCAAGCGTCTTGATCTATCTCTATAGATCTTGATGCTCAATATGTAAGTAGCTTCACCGAGGTATTTCTTTGAAGAACTCCTTTCAAACACTCCTTTATGCTTTCCAGAAAATTCTACATTATTTCCAATCAACAATATGTCATTCACATATACTTATTAGAAATGTTGTAGTGCTCCCACTATGACGCCCCCGATTTAATCGTACACTAATCATACACGCAAACATGTAC